TTAAAAATCAGAAAAACAGGCCAGAAGACCCAATATCTGAATAATAGGAGTTTCAAAAAGAGAGAATAGAAGAAATAAAAGGGAGGAAATTTCAAAGAAATAATTAAAAACATTTCCAAGCACTGAAGGATGAGGGCACAGACTGAAAGGGCTCATCAACCTCCCAGCACAACTCATGAAAAAAAAGAGTGCCATGAAGACTATCACTATGAAATATCAAAATACTGAGGAAAGAGAGCAAGTTCTAAAAATTTCCAAATGGGAAAAAAAGATCACATGGAAAGCAAGGAGGTCATAATGGCATCAGATTTGTCAACAACAACACTGGAAACTTGAAGATTAGGAGGTACTGTCTTCCAAATGCTCAGGGAAAATTATTTCTAACCTAGAATTCTATACTTGGCCAAAATGTCAATCAAATGTGAAAGCAGAATAAAGCTCTATAAAGTCTCAAGACTTTACCTCCCATGTACTCTTTCTCAGAAAGCTGTAGGATGAATGTGCCTTCGCAAAACAAAGGAGGAAGGTAAATAATGAGAAAGAAAATAAGATCTGGGAATAGGGGATCCAAAATAAGAGAAAACACTGGGATTACCGGATGACACATGGCTACGCAGCAGGGGTGGAGAGCCAACAGTGGAGCAGGAAGCCAGAGGAGGCCGGAAAGGTATTTCCAAGGAGAAAAAGAATTAAACTTACAGAATACATGATGGATATGAAATTATTGAGAGGAAACGTTTCAGATTTTGAGGGAAGTTTGAGAATGAAAGAGTGATTGGTACCCCCACCAAAAAAAACTCCCCAAATTGTGATGCAAATATTAACTCCAGAAGACATAATTTTTAAAGAAAGGAAATAGAATCACAGTACACAGCATAGCTCAGATGTCAAAAGCTAGAGTCAAAAATATCAACTCGTGATACTGATGAACTAAAAATAGGGACATAATACATTATGAGGAGGAAAGGCCCTGTGGGTATGTGTAGGTTTGGGGTTGCAAGTATACGGGAACGAAATCCTCGCCTTCCCTAGTGTGAAGAAGATAATATCTAAATTTGATACCCAAATAATATCTAAAATTGAAAATTCAAGAAATAGTAGTATAAGCATGTTATGTTGAATTATAGCTGTAAGTTCTAAGAGAAATAGCTAAGAAGAGTTAAAAGTAGTAGCCTCAGGGGAGAGGAAACTGTGGGGGGTGGGGAACCGGGGGCATGAGGGTTGCCAGGGGACAGGGAACTACTCATCTTCATTATAAGCCTGGGGCTATTGTTTGCCATTTTAAACCATGTACATGCATTGCTTTGCAAAGAAAAACAACACAAATTTAAACTGCAGAACTAGAATAAATTTTTTAATCCTCAGCCTCTTAGAGAAGGGGGAAAGGAGACAGGAATTCAGTCATTGAGAAACTACCCTGCAACAGGCCGTGGTTCCATGCTCTCATGTTCTGTAGTTTAATTTTCAGAACGGAGGTGTTTTATTACCATTTTATAGATGAAGAACCTGAGGTTCAGAGACATTCAATGATTTGTCACAGCCGTGCCACAGTTGAGTAGGGAATGTGGCTTCCTCCCATGACTCTCTGAGTCCATGGTCCTTGCTTGCTTTGCAGCAATGCCTTTCAGGGAATGGGAAACTCTGGATAAGCTTACATTCCAACTGCCTGCTGGATAGCTCCACGCCACCAGCACTCAAATTCTTGGCACCTCTAGAATTGCTCCTTTCCCACACCAAATCTGGGAACTTCTGCGTTCCTTAGAGCTTATCCAAGCTCAAAGCCCTCTACCTCTTCCCTCTCAAAGACAATACTTCCAACCATGTAAAATCCTCTCAGTTCTCCCTATGATTGCACTTACACCTGCCTCCGCCCCTTCACTCCCACTGACAAGACCCTCGGTGTACTCTCATTGTTCTGGAAACACTGTAGTAGGCTCCAATTTCGCCTCCCTGCTCTAGTCACTCAAATCTCTAAATTAATTAATTTAATAAATACACTCTCTGTGCCAGGACTCTTCAAGCAACTGGGGATACTACAGTATCCTACACACCACTGGTCTATCAGTGGCCATACTGTGATGGGGGCTCACATACAAAATAGAGGAAGATTGGCAACAGACATTAGGTTAGGGCAAATCTTCCTCAGCAAAAAAAAAAACAAAAAAAAAAAAGAGTTCTTTGTATATCCTTTCTACAAGTATCCATACTTTATACACACATCCTTTTTCAATTTTTCACTCAATGGGACCATGATACATAAACTATTCTGTATCCGGCTTTTTGAATTCAATAATTTAACTAGGAGATCCTTCCATATCAGCACACACAAATTTAGCTCATTCTTTTTAACAACAAATGTACTCTTGGACAGATATACCATCACTTCTTTAACTAGTTTCCTAGTGATGGGCATTTAGGTGGTTTCTAGTTTGTTTGTTTTTTGCCATTAGCAGTAATGCTGCAGTGAACATCTGGATACACTTACCTTTCATACATGTATGAACATATTTATAGGATACATTTCTAAATGTAGAGTCGATGAATCAATCAGCATACTCATTTAAATTTTTTGCTACAGATTCCCAAATTGCCTTCTAAAAAGATTTATACCCACAAGAAACAGTGTTTGAGAGTGCCCATTTCCCCATAACCTTAGCAAAACTAGGTATTAGCAAACTCTTTAATTATTACTAATTTGATACTACACGAAAAATAGTATCTCACTGCTGTCTTGATTTGCATTTAATTATGAATAAAGTTAAATATCTATATTTTACAAGCCAAGTGTTTTTTTATCTGTGAGTTGCCTTCATATGTGTGGTATACACAACTACCCATTAAGCACTGCTTAACCATTCTCCCTTTCTTTTGTACAAACTTCTAATTTTGTTTGGGGCAGAAATGTGCCCAGCTTCCCAAACTCATTTGTAGTTGGCAGGCCAAATGGCTGAGTTTCTAGGAGAGCTGGTTAAAGGGCAGACTGGACTAGCATGCATCTTATTGGCTGCTGCCATTTGCCTCTGATGTAGTGCCTAGAGGTGGAACAGCCATTTTGTGGCCATGAAGAATAAAGTCACCCACTAAAGACAGCCAAACAAGAAGAGAGTCTAGACCCCTGATGCACTGTGGAGCCACTGTGCCAGCTTTGGATT